CAAAAATATTCGCGAGTAAGGATAATTCATAGAGATTTAAAACCCAATAACATATTACTTGACGATAACATGAACCCCAAAATTTCTGATTTTTGACTCGCAAATATCTTCAATCAGAATGTTATAGAAGCAAATACAAATAGAAATGCAGGGACATAGTAAGTAATAAAGAATATTTTTTTTTCATATTGTCTGCCAATAGTGTGTGTATATATTCTCAAGGCTCATCAACATTATCACCAAACGCTGTTTATTGTTCATTTCACAGTGGTTACATGGCTCCCGAGTACGCAATGCAGGGTATTTACTCTACCAAATCGGACATCTATAGTTTTGGAGTTTTATTGCTTGAGATTGTGAGTGGTCGAAAAACCAATAGCTTCCACAATCAAGAAGGTCCTCTCAATCTAGTGGAATATGTAAGTTACTGGTATGACATATTTAAGTTTTGTCTCCTCTTTGTTATCTTTCTTTGTATTTAGATTCTTGTAAACAATTGTAGGCTTGGGAACTGTGGAGAAAAGATGCTGCATTAGACGTCGTGGATCCGACACTAAAAAGTTCATGCAGCCATATAGATCAATTGCAAAGATGCATTCATGTCGGTCTTTTATGCTTGGAAAATCATGCAATTGATCGCCCTATGATTGACGATGTTCTATCCATGTTAAAAAATGAAACGAAGCTTTTGCCAATGCCAAAATGCCCCACATTCTTCACTAGTAGAGTAGTTCATGAACTTGAAAATGGCAAGTCTCAGAAGTTTTCTGCTAATGGACTCACAGTGTCATCAATGGATGCAAGATAATAGAATTTGAGATCTACTCTTCTTTGAGTGGAGGGGTCTGATATCTGTACAAATTATTTGTTACATATCAAGAGTTATGTGCTGCTTCCTTTGAAACAAAAATTGTTCTACTTTGGCAGACAATATGTCTTCAAGTCATTGGATTTAATTAAAGCGTAAGTTTGAATTTATTTAGTTTTGAGTATAATTTTAGGAATTACAATACTGAATTAGTAATTTGAACTTGTAAATTTTGTTACTTGCACTATCTATTTCTCTTAGGAGAACAAATGAAAAATTTCTTTGCGAACTTTAAATCTTAACGATCATTTAAAGTTATTGAACTTATTTACATAATTGGCTGTAATTTTACATAAATTTCTCTTTTAAGTTTTTTGCCTTTATTTTTGTCATTTTTTTTTTTAATTACAATGGCTCATAAAATGTGGACTTCGCTTTTATATTTAGTTTGTGCAAATTATACCTGAACTTGTATGTAAAAAGTTGATGAATAAATGGATTTTGAGGTGATCCAATTATTTTACTGTTGGAATTGGGTGTCGATTTGCAGAAATAGGTGTTTTTTATTAATGTTTTTCATTTATTTTTGCAATTTTATTTTCTAGCAAAGTAGCATTATATTTCTATTATTTCGTGTCCCTTGTTTCACGTGTTGACAACCTTGCACATGGGGATAGTCTAAATGTTGGAATGCGGAAACGGAATTATCCAGAATTTTTTTTTTTTTTTCAATTCAACAAACAAGATCGTCTAGATGTTTACGTGTATGTTATATCAAGAATTAGGGATTCGAATTTTTTACCGAAATTTGATGATTAATTCTTGCATTAATTATGAATCACGAACTTTCAGCATTTTGGATCACGAGCTTCCAGTCTTTTAGTTGCAAGAACTTGATGCTTCAAACCTCAAAATCTTCTATGGTATACTCCAAAGTCAAGACTATACCGATGGTTATGCACATTTTTTTAATTAAATCAAGAAACTAATTTTGAATTGGACAATAAGAAAATATTGTTTTTCTCACTTTTTCTTTCTCTTCAAATTAGAACACTTCGAATTATGTATTATGATTCTTGTAGGATTTTTATGTCCATCTAATCAGTATTTATAGAGATAAAAGATGTTCCAATTCATGTAGAATAATAACTCCAAGGGTAATTAGCACATAACACCCCCACCTTTCATTGTTATTGTGTAAAACGTCTATACCTTTCATTTTTTAGCATTTTCACCCTTATTTTCACCTTTCATTGTGCAAAAGGTCATTTTCATATATTTTCTCAATTAAAAATTGTGAAATAACGAATATATCCTTCTCTTTAAATAAAACAAAAAGAGAGAGGAAAAAAATAATTGCAACCATAGTCCCAATTTTTTAAAAAAAAATGCAAATGAGTCTCAAATAAATCATTAAAAGGGTAATTAGTGCATAATATCCATACCTTTCACCTTTATTACGAAAAAGTCCATACCTTTTTTTTTTTTTTTTTTTTTTTTTTTTTTTTTTTTATTTTTTTTTTTTTTTATCTTTTTTTTNNNTTGCTCAAACCATCATTTTCATCCAATTTCTCAATAAAGAACTGTAAAATAATGAATATACCCTCCTATTTAAATATTTTTTTTAATTTCTAATTCTACAATAATTTATTTGGGACTTGTTTATACTTTTTATTTTTTAAAATTTTTAAATAAATTTAATTGAGATTCGTTTGCACTTTTAAAAAATTAATTTTTAAAATAATTTATTGGGGACTCGTTTGCACTTTTTCAAAAAAAAATTGGAACTATGGTTGAAATTAATTCTTTAGCTTTTTTTTATTTAAATATGAGGGTATATTCGTCATTTTACAGCTTTTATTGAGAAAGTTGATGAAAATTGATAGAAATAATGGTTTGCGTAATCAAATGTGTAATTAAAGGTGAAAATGTCAAAAAATAAAAGATAGAGACATTTTTTACAATAATAGTGAAAGGTAGGGACATTATGTGCTAATTATTTTTTTAATAATTTATTTGGGACTCATTTGAGTTTTTTTAAAAAAAAATTGGGACTATGATTGCAATTAGTTTTTCTTTTTTCCTTTTGTTTTATGTAAATAAAGGGTATATTCGTCATTTCACAATTTTTAATTGAGAAAATGGATGAAAATGACCTTTTGTGCAATGAAATGTGGAAATAAGGGTAAAAATACCAAAAAATGAAAGGTAAAAACATTTTCCACGGTGGGAATATTATGTGCTAATTACCATAATTTCAATATCAAATAGTAATCTTAATTAAAATCTAAGTAGGAGTTTTAATTAAAGTCC